ACAATGGGAACCTATAAACCCGAACGGAGGTAGTATGATACTATCATTACGACCAACCTAAACGTACTCCGTAGTAGCGGCGTAGCTTTCCACGCTTGATTGAAACGGACTGGCAGCATGGCTCGGCCATGGACGCGCTACCCACCGCGCTATACTGGCAACAGGAGCTCGCTTGTCGCTGGCCATGGCTGTCAAACTGTAACCGCACATGTTAAGGCTGGTTATAGTGGGGAGTAACTTAGATTAGTAACATACATATGTTACTAGTCTATGTTACTACCTTCATAGTGGGTAGTGTCATAGGTGTGGTAACATAGTTGCCTTCATTTATTACTTTGTAGACTCATTATGCATTGGAAACCGCTATGTGATGGTAACATATTATGTTACTCTATTTGCCTCTCTCCTCATTAACTACTTGCCACATCATCATTTTTGCTTATGTGGCGGCTGGTCATAGTGGAGAGTAACTTAGACTAGTAACATACATATGTTACTAGTCTATATTACTACCTTCATAGTGGGTAGTGTCATAGGTGTGATAACATAGTTGCCTTCATTTATTACTTTGTAGACTCATTATGCATTGGAAACCGCTATGTGATGGTAACATATTATGTTACTCTATTTGCCTCTCTCCTCATTAACTACTTGCCACATCACCAATTTTGCTTATGTGGCATCTATGTTACTACCTATGTTACTCCCACTATGACCAGCCTAAGCTAGCTATGAGAGCCTATAGCTACTGGTACTGGTACGCGAATATTCCGATCGAAGCGCTTTCCGCTCCTTCCGATCTGCCAGTATCCATTACTCTACTCGCGGCGGTCTTAGTTTACTCGCGCAGATCACATGAGGCGGTATCTTCTTCAGTGCAGATGCTGATCAGGGCTCGATCGGCGTGCATGTGGCTACTGCGCCAGCTCGCATCACCGGAAGCTTTTGCGCTTGCTTATGCCCTAATGATGCCATCTTTTGCTTTGGTCTGGTGGGACTAAACAACGCCGAGATGAGACGATGGTGGGCGCTATTTTATGGACGCGCGCCCCACGCAGTCCCTAGTATTTTTTTCTTTCGGTCTTCTCTAGCTAGCTCGCCGATCGATCCGTGACCTACATACATGTAGGTCTACGCGAGGAGCATTCGAGAAGCGCTCCGAGTATCGTATCTGGAAATACTCCCTCCGTTTTTATTTAGTTTGCATATTAGTTTTGGTCAAAGTCAAGCTTTACAAACTTTGACCAAGTTTACAAACAAAAATATTTAGATATACAATAAAAAATTAACAACATTAGATTTATTATTGAATGTACTTTCACATCGTATAGATTTATTATGATAAATGTCTATATTGTTTTTTATAAACTTGATCAAACTTTACGAAGTTTAATTTTAGTCAACTCTAATATGCAGAGTAAATAAAAACAGAGGGAGTACTATGCCGATTTGGTCAGCAAGCGGATCCTACTGCACTGTTTTCTGTTGATGCATCTCGCCACCTTCCTTTGGTTGCACTGTTTATTTTAGGGTTTTAGTCTTCCCATGCATGTTGTTCTCACTGAACTAAACCGATTTCCCCCCTCATTTCTAGAGACTACTACTTCTGAATTGTCTTTCACAGCCATATTGAATGGAGCCACTGCAGAGGGTGATAGATATATTTAACTGAACTCCTTGCTAACATCGCATTATTGCAACCCCACCTGTTTGTTGCAAGCAAGATCCAAATCTTCGGGATCTCTGATGGAAGTTCCACGCGCAATTTTAATCCGGCAACGAACCCAATTTAGCAGGCCGTAGTTGAACAGAGAGGTTTTTGTTACTTCATTGGTTGCAAGTTGCAACCCATTTGCTTGCACAAAGGATATCTTTTTAGAGCAAAAGACACAGTGTCCGAATTTATAAGATAAGCTATGAAACGGCAGAGCCAGTCATACAAACTACTCCCTCTGTCCCAAAATAAGTGTCACAACTTTATACTAACTTTAGGACGAAGGAAGTATGAATTATATTTGAAACACAAACTCACATATCAGTTACACACACACTCTGTATAAGAAAATGAAGAGTGGAATTTCTCACGAGATATCTGCTTTAGATACCACTCCCTTCGTTCACTATTAAGACATTTTAGGTATTTCAGTATAGACTAGGTACATACTTAAATGAGTAAACAAACACAATAAAACATGTCTATATACATCTGATTTAAAATCGCCATATACATTTGAAGGTTGGTCTGGCGACACGCAAACTTAGAGTCGCCATATCTCAACCTCTATTTTTTTTTTCATTTTCCTCACTCAACACTTTGGTTGCCTCCAAATTTAAACGCTCAGCACATCAAGTGAACATGCACATAGTTTTTGACAAGTTGCATGGACAAATCATTTAAACCGATGACATGTACAAATCACATGTTTCCAACCTGTGCACCGTCCCCTTCTCCTCCGGCGTGTGCATCCATCCCTTCTGTGAGATCCCTAAAATGTATGATCACCGTTCACGCCTTCCTCCAAAATTCTCGCGCCACTGGATCCATCATGATGTGAACCGATTTTCCTCGGCTTTTCATTCAGTTGTCGCCCGACGCTCCTGTTTTGAGCCTACGCGCCTCCATCTTTTTCTAACGCCGCCTGCTCTCTTGCATACCATCCCAACTCGCCCTCTTGTCTTGGATCTCCTCCTCCTCCTCCATCTTTATCTTTTCTGGCTTCCTCTTCTTGGAGTACCCGTTTCTTGTCCTCATCAACCCATTGATCTTTTTTTCATGGCCCCCACCTCTCCTTCCCTCTTGAGCTTTTCTTTTCCTCTCTTACTCATGTCGGGCCAACCCGTGATAGACGCCTGAGCAGGACTTTTAGGCACTCTTTCCCTTTCCTCTCCATCACCACCATCATCTTCACCGTACTCCATCTCCGGAGAGGAGTTGCTGCACTTTTCAGTTTTTGGAGTGTCGTCATCATTCCCTGATTTCCACTTCTCGTGGCCCTCCAACAACGTGGAGGCTAAATGATTCTTCGGCTTGACCATTTTTGGGTACCCCTCTTGGGCTATGTTATCCTAAAACAAAGAAATGCTCAAATTGATGAGAATGCTCAAAGTATGCAAATGTGGCAATAAAAACAACAACAAGATTCCTTACACATTGGTCAATGGTGACAACGCCAGGAGGAGCGAGCTTCACTTGCTCCAAACAACCCTCCCAATGGTTGCACATCTCTTGAATCGTACCCTGTCGGTTTGTGAGAGATTTGATGGTGCGCTTTGTTCTATGCCCTAGATGATGTTTCTAATGCTCCTCGATGCACTTCCAGTACTTTGCACTTGACTAATTTTTCTGGTGACCGCATCGAGAGAGATATCTTGCCATACCATGACAAGTGCAACATACGGTAAGTTTGCTTCCCTAATTTGTTTCTTCCTCGATAAGCCGGAGGGTCGGAATTGATCAAATTCTGTATCTCACATCCAATTGATCAAAAATGCGACAATGATGCGCCTTCGAGATCAAAATCATTTGTCCTGCAGCAGGTATCACCCATCATACTCTCAAGAAATAATTCGTCGTTGACCATCGATCTCCCCAAATCAGTTAATCATCTCTAAATCACAAACATTGCACATCTGCCAACATTTTTCCACGACCACCTTGCATTTAGTCGAACAAAAACCGTATACAAGGCAATGAATGACTTTCTTTAACTGAACACCATTTCTGGTCCAACGTAAGACTGGGAAGACGCCCTAGTTTTGACCGTTGCCGGGCCGAAGGTAGGAGGGATAACGGGTTGGGTATGCCTTTTCTTTAGTTTCTTCGCCGAGGACCGCTG